GCCTCGGCCAGAAAGAGTAAGCCTCAGGGTCTTGGGAGGGAAAAGACCCCCCCTGGCCAATACAGAGGGCGGGATGGAGCGTCGGACTCGGAGCTTCCTAGCTCCCCGCCCCCACCCGGTCCCCTTGGCCAGGCCCAGACGCAAGCGGCCTAGTTGCTCCCCTTCCTCATCTTCCATCTGGAGAGCCAGTTCTTCCGACTCTGGCCGACCCACCAAGCGTTCGGGATTGGAGCCTTGTGGCCCACGACGAGGCTCCGAGGGGCAGTGGTTGGGGCAGCCGCGGACCCGTCTACTCCAACTCCAACCCGCAGCAGCGGCGGCGGCTCCAGAGTCCTCGGCTGACGTGGAAGGGGGTAGGGCAACGACGGAAGCCACAGCCACCTAGCACCTACGGCCACTCAGAGAGGACACGCTTTCTATGTTGAGCGCTTGCGCGCTTCAAGCATACACTGTTTTCTCCCTCTTCTCTCGTCTAGGGGTGGATTAGGCCGCAGAGCAATGAAACCGCTTATTTTATAGTTTCTCCTGCAAGCCAAGCGCTGAGTTAAGCACGGTCTCATTTAAAAGCTAACTGGAAATCGTTCCTTCTTAAAATAACAGTCAAGGGGAGGAAGTGCTTGGAGAGAGGGAAACTTTTACAGGGCTGTGTTCCCGTGAAAAAGACCTCAGGACTGGAAAGTGGAAACCCAGGAATCCTTTTTCTTGCTCACCTGCTAATAAACTGGAAAAGTAACTAATACTATTGGGAAAGTAATTTCAGTTATTTTATTAATGATCGCTAGATTAAAATCCTTTTCTGTTCTTAAATCGCTAGTAGTTTAAATCTGCCTCTATGCAGGAAGGGCTGGAGTTACTTGAACATCGAAAGTCACATTGGTATAATTTCTGCTCTTTATTTAATAATGACTTCTTTCGTGATCCTTTCTGAGCACCCAGTAGATTAGAAAAAAAAAATTTATGCATAAAGGGACATAATCACTGTTTTAAAGGATTTTACATATCTACGAAGACCTAATTGTTAGCAGCTGCAATCAGCCATAGTAACTTTCAGTTTTGCCCATTTGAAGTTCCATAACACGCCCCACCCCTACACCCCCTCCCCTCAAAAAGGTTTTATGACCAATTATTAATAAAAAATATTTTAAAGCTTAAGAAAAATATTGTGAATAAAAACAGGTCTGGCAGAAACTGCCCTAGTTAACAGGTTCATCTCAGGGAGATAGAACACAAAAAGTGCCTCATTTATGCAGGATCCAGCTCTTTTGAGATTTCTCTTTTTAGAAACATCAAGTAAACTATAAATTCTTTGAGCACACAAAATGTATCACAAAGGTCATGTGTTGACAGCACTTTGATTGCCCCCCTGTGATTCTATACATTCATTTTTAAAAACATTTAGTCTTAATTGTAGAGTGACAAGAATACAGAGATCCCATATACTCTTTACCCAGTTTCTCCCAATGGTACATCTTGCATAGTTATAGTACAATATCAGTTTCAGGAAATTGACAGATGTAATTCACCCAACCTTATTCGGACTTCAATAGTTTTACATGCACTGGTTTTTATGTTTACTTGTAGACTTTTTTTTTTTATCATGGTTATATGTGTGTGATCACCAACCCAGCTGAGACACTGAACAATTCCATCACAAGGTTTCTCATGCTGTCATTTGTTAGCCATAGCCACCTCCCTCTCCAACCTGTGGCAACCACTAATAATTCTCTATGATTTTTATCATTTCAATGTTATATAAATGGAATTATACAATATAATCTTTTGAGACTGGGTTGTTTTTACTCAGCATGATTCCCTTGAGATCAGCCCAAGATGTATGTACAACAGAAGTCTCGCTCTGTCACCCAGGCTGGAGTGCAGTGGCATGATCTCGGCTCACTGCAACCTCCACCTCCTGGGTTCAAGCAATTCTCCTGCCTTAGGCTCCCAAGTAGCTGGGACTACAGGCGTGTGCCACGACACCCAGCTAATTTTGTGTATTTTTTTAGTAGAGACGGGGTTTCACCGTGTTAGCAAGGATGGTCTCGATCTCCTGACCTCATGACTGCCCGCCTTGGCCTCCCAAAGTGCTGGATTACAGGCATGAGCCACCACGCCCAGCCTGTGTATTCGTTTTTAACACAGAAGTTTTACAAATGCAGTTATCTCATTTCCAAGCCCACTTGACTTACCAAGAAGTGACAATCTGTCAACAAGAAATGAGGCCAAAAAAGGTATAAAAACTAGTATACACTAAGAAAACTCAGTTTAGGGCCATCATGGTGTAGGACTTAAACCATACAGACTTCATTTGCCTCAGAGGTTCACTGTGTTACAGAATAACTTTGAGGTTTTTCATAACTCAAGTCATTAAGGAAAGTATTAAATATGAAAATGCAAGACAATGTAATGTTTTACATATTACTTAGATCTGACCCTAAAATTGTCATTGGCAGTGTGTATGTTTTTCCATATTCTTAAGTACAAAGAAAGCTACTTAAATGGGTATCAGGACCTTAATATTGGCCTCACTAACTCTTCCTGACCTGTTGTAAAACACACTTTGTTTTGGGCTTTTTTACTCTAAGATATAACTCTATCACTTTGAATGCCTTTTAAATTATAAATGCAAAGACCCTGTCATTAGATCAAGGACCATAGAAATTGTGGTATCTAAGAAGTCAAGGCCTAGAGAATAGGTACTTGCCCCAAATCACATAATGGCCAAAGAGTTAGAACTAGGACCTGAATCCTGTTACCTAGTTTACTTATTATTTTTACTATTTTGAGACAAGAGTCTCACGCTGTCACTCAGGCCAGAGTACAGTGGTGTGATCATAACTCATGGCAGCCTCAGACTCTGGTTCAAGCGATTCTCCCACTTCAGCCTCCTGAGTAGCTGGGACTACAGGTGTGTACTGCCACGCTCAGCTAACTTATAAAAAATTTTGTAGAGATGGGGGTCTCACTTGAACTCCTGAACTCAAGTAATCCTCCCACCTTGGCCTCTCAAAGTGTTGGGATTATAGGTGTGAGCCAACACACACAGCCACTGCCTTTTATTCCATGCCAGTTCTTCAGAGCTGTACATATACATGTTCAATAAATTCCAGGTGAATTGAGTATCTTTGTATCAAAGTGACAGGCTTTATAAAACATCATTATGAATTTTACTGTTTGTAATTATTCAAAAGAGTAAATGGAATATGTGAGTACAACAAACTAAAACATGAAAGGGCATCACAATGAACTCTATATACAGTGGGGTTGAGTATTACTGGAGTGGGGAGAATTTTAAGTTCTAAAGTCAGTATATGACTAAAAGTCACATTGAAAAAATTGGATTGCTCCCGAAGTACAATAATTTTTTTTTCAGCTGAATACAAGCCAACTAATGGTTTGCATTTGTGGAACAGGTGCATGTTCCACAACGATAAACATACAATATCTTTATTTTTTGAGATGGATTCTCACTGTCGCCTGGCTAAGCTGGAGTAGTGGCACCATCTTGGCTCACTGCAACATTCACCAACCATGTTCAAGCAATTCTCCTGCCTCAGTCTCCCAAGTAGCTGAGACTGCAGGTGCACACTACTATGCCCAGCTAATTTTTGTATTTTTTAGTAGAGACGGAGTTTTGCCACGTTGGCCTGGCTGATCTCAAACTGCTGACCTGAGGTGATCCGCCTGCCTTGGCTCCCAAAGTGCTAGGATTACAGGCATGAGCCACTGCACCCGGCCACAATGTCTTTAAACAACAGAATCATTCAGTGAAGACAGAGGCTTACCCAGTGGAAGACACAATGGAAGAGACCTGCCTAAGTAAAGGGCAGATTATTAAATTTCCCACTATGCTCCCTCCCCAGACTACATACCCATTGAGTATGGAGGCAGGTGGGAGTTCCTGAGTTCACTGTTTTATTGTGTGTGTGTGTGTGTGTGTGTGTGGTTTGTGTAAAGTTACATGTGCTTGATGCAACCCACTGTAGGTCAAACAGCCACATGGTACTTGGGTCTAACTCCCAAGCTGACATGGTAGATTCTTGAGGCCACTGCTGGTGAAACGGACATCTCACACATTCTAGTATTTAAGACATCTTTCCTTTAATAAGACTACTTAAGAATCTTTTCCTTAATAAGACTCCCAGGGCTACTTTTACCACTCTCTCTTTAAGAAATCAAAGGGATTTAAACCTACTAAGGCTTTTTAAGATTTTGAGAAAAGTTGGGAGGAAAAATAACATTCTATGAATTTTAGCGCTTAAAAGGTGTTATCACATAAATGTTCCCTTTTAACCCTATGATTCTCCAAAGGGTTTCCTTAAAATAGGGCTAAGTAACTTACCCAAAGCCAATAGTAGCTAATTAGAAACAGGTCTAAAATAGGTTACCATCTATAAATGAACTTCTCTTCAGAAAGATGTATTATCTTAGAAGATAAAATAACTCCTCTAGACGTCAGCAGCCAAATTTTGGATTATGATTTTTTAAAAATCAGATTTCTTTTAATTTCGTTTTGCATGGTCTAAGATAAAAATGGTTCTGCAACACCTGAGTATACCACTCATGGGAATAAAAGAAGGCAAATTAAAGATCATGCTGGAGTGGGACTGGAGAGGATAAAAAGTTTGGGATTAAAATTTCCCAAGTGTTATTTTTGCAGAAGTTCCCCACAAAGACCAGAGCTACAACTACTGCCATCTGCTGGTTGGAAAGAAAACCATTCATATGTTAACTGATGTTTATGTCAGGAAGTGGTGGTTTCTCAAGTTTTAATCAGAATCACCAAGGTTGAACCCTGAAACTTGTATTCTAAACCAAATATCCACGGATACTTAGGCAGCCAGTCCATACACAGGAGAATTGTTATAAGGCTATGATAGATAAGAGGTATTATTTTTCTCCATCACTAAAATTAAGGCAATTTAATTTGGGAAATGATCAGTTGTAATCCCATAATACTATATATAGTTGAAGCTACTTGTAAAAAAAACAACCCAATATACCAGGGTGGTGAAACAATTTTATTTCACAGTTGTATTTAAAACCACAAAGACACCTATTTTCTTCATATAAAAACATTAGTACAGATACCCATACTTTCTGGAAAACGATTATACAGACACTTTCAAAGAAAAATGTATTCTATTATAGGGTTTCAGTGAGGTTGCTTGGAAAAACTCACATCTGGACTGATACCTAAAACACAGCATTCCATTACTCTGCAACTTTTGGTTCACAGTATAATTACTGTCATCAGTATGTGGTGCCTGTATTCTTACATATTTGATAATACATATATTGACTGGCTTATCACTTAATGTTCCATTGGTTCATCAGCCTTTTCTGCAGGTTCATCAGCAGGTTGAACAGGCTTAACAGGGAAAGAAAAAAGAAAATATGTAAAATGAACACCTGATCAATATATACATCTAATCACAAATATTATAAAAAATGGAGAAAGAGGTAAAGAGAAATTCTGAATACTCAGTTTTAGTTCACTGTCCTGTTAACATTTCTGAGCAAAGTTTTTTTTTTTTTTTCTCCTTGAGTGCTCATGATTTGAGGTGCATAAAGATTTTTTTATTAAAAAAAAAATACAGCGCCGGGTGCGGTGGCTCAAGCCTGTAATCCCAGCACTTTGGGAGGCCGAGGCGGGTGGATCATGAGGTCTAGAGATCGAGACCATCCTGGTCAACATGGTGAAACCCCGTCTCTACTAAAAGTGCAAAAAATTAGCTGGGCATGGTGGCACGTGCCTGTAATCCCAGCTACTCAGGAGGCTGAGGCAGGAGAATTGCCTGAGCCCAGGAGGCAGAGGTTGCGGTGAGCCGAGATCGCGCCATTGCACTCCAGCCTGGGTAACAAGGGCGAAACTCCGTCTCAAAAAAAAAAAAAAAAAAAAATACAGTTAGCCCTTGAACAACACAGGTTTAAACAGTAAGGGTCCACTTGCATGTAGATTTTTTTTCTTTTTTGTTTGCTTTTACTCTAACATTGTTTAGGGTGAAGTTTTTTTTTTTCCAATAAATATAAACTAGCAGACCAACTGTGTAGCCTAGAAATATAAAAAAAAATAAATAAATAAGAAAAAGATATGCCACGAATGCATAAAATATATGTAGAAACTAGTCTATTAAGTAGGATGCAGCGGTTCACATCTGCAATCCCAACACAGTTGGGATGCTCAGGCAGGAGGATTACTTGAGCTCAGGAGTTTGAAATCAGCCTGGGCAACACAGTGGGATACCGTCTCTACTAAAAACAAAAAAAAAAATCAGCTGGGCATGGTGGCACGAACCTGTAGTCTCAGCTACTTGGTGGCGGTGGGGGTGAAGGGAGGTGAGATGGGAGAATAACTTGAGCCCAGGAGTTTGACCTTGCAGTGAGCTATGATGGTACCACTGCACTTCAGCCTGGACAAGAGGGCAAGACCTTGTCTTAAAAAACAACAAAAAAGAAACTAATCTATATGTGTTAATTGGCTGTTTATGTTATTGGTAAGGCTTCCAGTCAACAGCAGGCTATCAGAAGATTTTGGGAGTCAAAAGTTATATGCGGATTTTCTACAGTGCTGGGGTTTGGTACTACTAACCCCCACACTGTTCAAAGGTTAACTGTATATATAATTTCACAGTTCTGAAAATCTAAACATCATTGAACAATTCTACCATTTTATTGTACTTTGTATTGCTCAGGAGTAAAAGCTTTCCTTATATTATCACTACTATGCTTAAAATACAATCAGCACTTTTTAGACATTCTTTATCCCTTTACTAAACTCTGTGTGGTATTTCACAGCATGCTTCCCAACAGTGCTACTTTTTTACCAAAAACAGTTTAAATACTACAAATCTTACTCCCCCAAATAGTACCAACAATATCCTTTTCAAGTTGAAAAAATACATGCTATAGAAATTTCCATACTAGATTCTTTTTTACTTTCAATTACACAGCTATCAAATAAGCATCTATAAATAGCAAATGTGTATTCTAAACATCCAGCAAAAAGACCCATATTTAACCTGAGATTCACTTCTTGATGCGTTTCTCTTTATGAAGAGCCATCTTAGTGTCCAAAGCTGGACCCCAATGAATATTTCTCCCAGTCTCCACTCACACAGAATCTGGGTCCAGCCAGTGGCTCACTTTAACAAACAGAATGTGTACAGGTGATGTTGTGCCAGTCCTGTGTCTCAGCCTTAAGAATGTCTGGCAACTTTCACTTCTGACTTTTGCAAGCCCTGAGTTGCCAACATGCTAGAGAGACCCCGCTGAAGAAGCGGCCCTGAGACTACATGGACAGAGGCTCAGTCATCCTAGTAGAGGTCTCTGCCTTCTAGATGCTCCTCTAAGACACCTAGAAGGTGTGAGTAAAGACGACATGGGACTAAAGTTATCTTGGGTGTTCCAGTTGCACCCCACAAATGACTGCAATGTTTGAGAGATCCCAGGTGAGACCAGCAAAGAGCCATGTAGCTGAGTCCCCGTCAGCCACAAAATTATGAGAAGTAGTGTTTGTTGTTCTAAGCCCCTAAGTTTTGGGGTAGCTTATTAACTAGCAATAGATAACCAAATAATCAATGCTTCTCCCTTTTTGTGTTTATGGATATCACTGTCCCCTCAATATTTAACTTTACTCAGTTCTTAATTTCCCTATTGCTATTTGAATTTTGGGCCCATTTCAATATTTAAGACAAAATGGAAAATTTACAAACACAGTTGTGGTAATAACAGTATCTTACAATAGAACTAAAGCCTCTTGTGTTATGATTATATACCTGTGCCTTTCTCTGTGGCCTTTCTTCAAGACCTTCCAGGAATGGAGACACATCATCATCATCATAGATTGTAAATTCCAAGTCTTTACCAACAATTCCAATGGAAACATTCTGAGGGGTAAAAAAATCATAAAAGTAAAATAATTAAGAGAATTTGGATGAAAAAAATATATGATAAAATATTAAGTGAAGAAAGCAGAGTAAGAATTTATATAGTACTTGAATAAAACTTTAAAAACTACTTATGTGTAGGGGAAAAAAGAAACTCGCAGACCCTTGTCATTTGCAGATTTAATATTAACACTCACTGCTGATTATCATGAGTAACTCCAAAGATCTATGTTATCAAGAAACATTTTTTTAAAAAGATTATGCAGGCGGCCAGGCGCTGTGGCTCATGCCTGTAATCCCAGCACTTTGAGAGGCCAAAGCGGACAGATCACAAGGTCAATAGATCGAGACCACCCTGGCCAACATGGTGAAACTCCATCTCTACTTAAATAAAAAAATTAGCTGGGCATGGTGGCACGTGCCTGTAGTCCCAGCTACTTGGGAGGCTGAGGCAGGAGAATTGCTTGAACCCAGGAGGCGGAGGTTGCAGTGAGCTGAGATGGCACCACTGCTCTCCAGCCTGGCGCCTGGCGACAAAACAAGATTCTGTCTCAAAAAAAAAAAAAAAAAAAAAAAAAAGATTATGCAGGCTATAAAGTCTACACATTGATATTAAACAATAATTTATTCAATCACTATAACAAAATGGCTTTATAAGACTGACTAATCTCACTTTAACTAATGATCATTAACCTTAAGTAGACCTTAGTGGTTCCTGGATCCCACTGTACCAATTCCTACATTATTCATTCTCCCCTACTTTTGGACACTTCTTTCTAACATTCTCCAAGCTGTTTGCAGTTGAAAACCTTGTTCTTGTATTACTGAGAAAACATAAGCAACTGGAAGAGAACTTTCACAAGCTCCCACTGTATCCACTCTTTCCTGTACCTATATCCTTAGATTCTCTCCTTTCCCATTACAATTTCCTCTCTAGGGCCAACCCTTCCACCTATGTACTATTAAGTAACATTGCTCTAACAACTTTCTCATTATTTTTCCTACGTAAATGCTTCCCTAAATTTACTTGGATTACTCTGAAAATCATGCAGCAAATGTGATATAATTTCTTCCATCTTAAAAAACAAAACAAAACGAAACATAGGAATGGAGTGGTGACTCTCTTCTTTTCCAGTCACCACTCCATTCCTATGGACTGTCAACAGAAAATATCCTCCAAAGAGCTATCTCCAATTCCTCTTCAACCATTCTCTCCTGATTCCACTCCTATCAAGTTTTTGCCTTATCATTCCATTAAGGCTGTTTTGACAAGTCCTCAGTGACAACTTCATGGCCCTTCCTCCTTGAAAGTTTATTCATTTGCCTCCAAAGATGCCTAATTTTCCTTCTTCTTTGACCACTTTTCTCAGTCTTATTTGCCAGTATCTACTCATCTCCCAGTTGCTAAAGGTTAGAGCATTCTTGGTTCAGTTCTCACAATGCTTGTCTAACCAATTCCTTTAGGGATCTCTTCCAGTCCAGACTCTAAATGCCATTTCTATATAAAGATTTCAAACATTTGAAGTGTAGGTTGGAACACTCTCCATGGAACTCCAGGGGTTGCTTCTAACTGCCTACTCCGTACCGTCAACTGGACAGTAAGGCATTTCAAATTTTACGACTACAACTGACTACCTGATCTTCTTCCCCAATGCCTACTCTAAAACCTGTTCCCCCCACTGTCTTCTTCATCTCAGCAAATCATAAATTTTTCTTTTCAATTAATCAGGCCCAAAACCTTGGAGACATTCCCCCTCACATCTTACAACAAATCTATTAGCAAACTTTTTTGGCTGTAATTTCAAAAGATATCCAAAATTAAACCACTACTCTTCATCTTTAACTTACTCTGCTCCAATCACTATCATCTCTCACATGAATTAACTAAATAGACTTAAAACTATTTCTACTTATAGCTCCACTATCTATCTACCTATATCCCCACAATCTGTTGTTAAAATGGCAACCAGAGTGACTGTCTTAGAACCTAAACCAAATCATGGTATTCCTCTGCTCAAACTTTTAATAGCCAACTCAGTAAAATGCAGAGTACCCACAATGGCTTATAAGACCTCCATTACCTCTCTGATTTCTTTCCTTTTCCTCTTCCTCTTGATCACTGACCCTGTTACTATTGGCCTCCTTGCCTTGAATTTGCATTTGTATTTCCTAGAATAATTGTGCTCTAGACATCTGCATAGCTCACATTCACTTACCACCTTTATATCTTATCCTCAAATTGCACTTTCTTGGTGAGGATATCCTTGTTCACCTATTTTAAATTACATCTACCTTTACCCAATTGGCCATTCTCTTTTTAACCCCTTTTAAAATTTTTTACATAGCATTTAGCCCCTTCTAATATACTATATAATGTACTTATGTATATACTGTCTATCTTTCCCTACTAGGATATATGTTCCATGAAGAACAAGGTATTTGTTGTGTTTACTATATTTTCAATGACTAGAAAGTGCCTGCACATGGTACATACACAACATATATATATATTTGTTAAAAAAAAAAAAGGCAAGACAATCATATCCCAAATTAAAGAATGTGGTATATATACTCTATTACATTTATGCAGTAAAGGTTTAAATTGTAATGTTAATATCTACAATTGGAAGAGATAATATTTACCTTCGTAGTTAGGTCCTGTTCTGCAGGAAGTGTCTCCCTTAAGGCACGCAGACCATGTTTAACTAGTTCATTTAAATTGCCTGTATGTAATTAACAATTATTTCTTAATTTCATTGTTATGCTAAACTTCTTTTATTTATCAGATCTACAGCCTAAAACTGTGGTTTTTAGTTACACACTAAACTTATCACAATAAAAACAGCCAAGTTTAATGCTAGACATATAATCTTTTAATAGCATTCTATGACATTGCTGCCTATTATTTTATTTAATGAAAGGACTCATGATTTTTGTCACAATTCTGATATTCTCTTTTGCTAGGTCAAATCAAAATCCCGATTACAAATTATAGAACTCAAAGTTTTGTGGAATGTGTACTGTAGAATCCTAGTCCCTATATTTGCTCACTGTAAAAAGGAGTCTCCAACTTATTCAATGTGGACAGTATTGATACCAAGAAAAAAGACATCACAAGAAAACTACAGACCAGAATATAGATTCAAAAAAACCCAAAAAACCGAAAACTACAAACTGAACCTGGCACTATATTAAAAAAACTCTCTACCATATACAAGCAAGATTTATCCCAAGAATGAAAAGTCAGTTTAACAACAGAAAGTCAGTGTAATGCACATTAATAGAAGGAAGGGGGAAAACCTGCATAACCACCTCAAGAGATGCCTAAAAACACATGATAAAACCTAAAATCCTTGCATAATAAAAACACAAACTAGTAATTGAAAGGACCTCTTCAGTCTCATACAGGGCATCTACAAAAAGCTGACAGCTAACATCATTCTTTTTTTTTTTGAGACGGAGTTTCGCTCTTGTTACCCAGGCTGGAGTGCAATGGCGCGATCTCAGCTCACCACAACCTCCGCCTCCTGGGTTCAGGCAATTCTCCTGCCTCAGCCTCCTGAGTAGCTGGGATTACAGGCACGTGCCACCATGCCCGGCTAATTTTTTGTATTTTTAGTAGAGACGGGGTTTCACCATGTTGACCAGGATGGTCTCGATCTCTTGACCTCGTGATCCACCCGCCTCGGCCTCCCAAAGTGCTGGGATTACAGGCTTGAGCCACCGCGCCCGGCCTAGCTAACATCATTCTTAATAGTGAATGACTAACGGCTTTTCCCTTAAGTTGAGGAACAAAAAAAGAATGTCTGTTCATGCAACTTCTTTTTATCAGTGTACCAGAGGTTCCAGCCAGGGCAATTAGAAAGGAGAAAGTAAAACTATCTCTATTCCCAGATGACATGATCTAAGGACTCTATAAAAAAACAAAAATTACTGGAATTAACAAATGAGTTCAGCAAGATTGCAGGATCAAGACTTATATACAAAAATCAATTGTTTTTCTACAGAGTTGAAATGAATAATATGCAAATGAAATTAAGAAAACAATTCTGTTCACAACCACCAAAAACAATAAAGTACTCGTAAGACCAATATGACTCGTACACTGAAAACTACAAAACATCAGTGAAATAATGAAATACCGGGTCAGGCATGGTGGCTCACACCAGTAATCCCAGCACCTTGGGAGGCCGAGGAGGACAGATTAAGGTCAGGAGTTCGAGATCAGCCTGACCAACATGGAGAAATCCCGTCGCTACTAAAAATACAAAATTAGCTAGGCGTGGTGATGCATGCCTGTAATCCCAGCTACTCAGGAGGCTGAGGCAGGAGAATCACTTGAACCCAGGAGGCGGAGGTTGCAGTGAGCTGAAATTGTGCCATTGAACCAGCCTGGGCAACAAGAATGAAACTCTGTCTCAAAAACAAAAACAAAAACAAAACAAAACAAAACAAAGAATTACATACTTAAATAAATGAAGATATTCCATGTTCATGGATCAGATGCCTTGTATCATTAAAGTAGCAGTACTCCCCAAAATTATCTATAGATTTATTGCAATCTTTAGTAATTTTCTATCCAGATTGAAATGTGCTAGGCAGAGGGTGCTGATATGACCAGTTCTCAATCAAACTTTGGACGCTGAGTTTCTAATGAGCTTCCCTGGGCAGAAACATCACATACTTATTGCTGCAAGTGTACTCTGTGACTTCTTGAGGGAAGGAAAAAGCATAGGAAGCCTGGACATAGATTCCTCTCAACTATATCTTTCCTTAACGATCCACCTATGTATTGTTATTTTATTGTTCTAAGTCTTACCTGGGAGTACAACTATATGCTGAGTGCTTTAAGTCCTAGTAAATCTCCAAATTTAGGGGTAACCCTGGGGACCCCCAATCTATTATAATTTAAAATGTTAAACTTTAAGCCAGAATGTACCAAGCTTATTTGTCCAAGGAATCCTCTTTTCCCAAAATTAAATCTATTGTCATCCTACAACAGTTTGCTCTGAGTAATGTTTTTCTTTTTCTTTCTTTCTTTTTTTTTTTTTATAGAGACGGGGTTTCACCATGTTGGCCAGGCTGGTCTTGAACTCCTGACCTTAGGTGATCCACCCGCCTCAGCCTCCCAAAGTGCTGGGATTATAGGCGTGAGCACTAATCCCAGCTCAGCTGAGTAATGTTAATTAAACTACTTTTCTCTGCATTCACTAAGCCCCAGATATTTCCTCCAAAGAATACTATGTCACCAGAAAACAGATGAGACAAATAAAAACCCAAAAAGCTCCTTCCAATGCAAAGCAAAGCACTTGAAAACCTGCCCTGTCATAACATCTTAGCTCTTTTACCTTCTTTTTCCACAGCTACACTGCCTTTTTATTTCTTGTTTATAGACTACTAATGCAGAAATGTCTGTGGCTTAAAATAAGAAAAGACTCAAAAAAACTAAAAGTGAACAGAACTTAAAACTGGCAGGTGGTGCAATGGTTTTCCACTCTCCACTCTACAGGACACACTTCTGACCAACTGAATCAAGAATTTTCAAGGCTGGGGACATATTTATATTTTGAAAAAGTTCTACTCGTGATTGAAATTACTGTGATAACCAGAAGTTAAAACTAGTATATGTGTATATGTGACAGAAGCAATAAACTCTTCATGGGCCTAATTTTAAAAAAATTCTGTAAGACTGATAGTTTTATGCATTTAGGATACTATGTTTATTTACTATATAGACTGGAAGAGGGAAAAAAAAAAAAAACGGCAAGGCTATCACTTACACTCCATAAATTCAGACATATGTCTCTCCAAGTAAGTACGAGCTGACTGGGAACGGGCTCCAATGGACATAGCTCTGCAGTCAAAATAGTTAGCAGATGGACAGGTTTGGAAAATGTGAGGGCCCATATCCTACAACCAGAAATAAGTAAACCACATAATTATTTACTTTGGTTGAGCTAAAAATTATAAAAATTTCTATTTAATAAAAAATCATTAAAATATAATAATAATCCATGAACTTACATCATAACCAGCAATAAGCAGCCCAACACCATAAGGTCTCCGGCCATATCGTTGTGTTGGTATCTGGGTCTCTTAGACTAGTTAAGAGCTTGTTTTAACAAGGAATGAAGTACTCTTTACTTTTTTTTTTTTTTTTTGGGGGGGGAGGGTGGAGTTTCACTCTTGTTGCCCAGGCTGGAGTGCAATGGCACCATCTTGGCTCACTGCAACCTCCACCTCCTGGGTTCAAGCGATTCTCTTGCCTCAGCCTCCTGAGTAGCTGGAATTACAGGCATGCGCCACCATGCCTCTTTGAATTTTTAGTAGCGACGAGATTTCTCCATGTTGGTCAGGGTGGTCTCAAACTCCTGACCTCAAGTGATCTGTCCGCCTCAGCCTCCCAAAGTGCCAGGATTACAGGCTTGAGCTACTGTGCCCGACCTATACTATCTTTATTTTCAAAATATACATTATTAACAAAGGTCTCTGGCTTCTTCCTTAATTGTTGCATAATCCACCAGAGAAAGAATAAAATGGGACTCTATTTCTTTGGCCTGATATAAAATGTTTGACTTTCTACCAAACCTAACAGTGCCAGCAAAATAATTTATTCCCAGGTAAAACCTGATTTGTTTTTGATACGAGGGGTCTAGGATTTCTTGGGACATCTAGAACCATTAAGAAACTTAAATCCCCTCTAAAAAGATGCTTGGATAATTTTCCTGAAGTTGGGTTTATTTATGTCTAGCAAATATAAATTGCTTATACAGGCTAATGAAAGAGCTACCCAATTTGTTGTTTTAAAGTTTTCACAATCTTACCTATGTCATATTATCATATTCCTAATAATTAACACAAATATCAAAACCCTTCAAAGTTCATATCCATAAATGTTCACATTAAAAAGGATACTGCTTCCAATTAGAGATACAAGACGAGACACAGGAAGTGGTCTATCGAATACAAATCTGGAATCCAAACACTCCTGACGCATAAAATTACTAAAAGGAACAAAAAAAGTTTAGTAATCTCAAATTACAAACAACTATTCTAATCTAAATTGTTTGATTTCACTTTGCATTCTTCTAAGCGTTTACATGGATCACATCCACATAATGAAGACAGAAGGTAAGAAAGACATGCCTGCGAGGGCGCATTTTTGTGTCAAACTCTGGAGCCACGGAAGGTTTTTTGTTTGTTTGTTTTTGAGATGGGGTTTCACCATGTTGGCCAGGATGGTCTTGATCTCCTGACCTCATGATCTGCCCACCTCTACTGCCCAAAGTGCTGGGATTACAGGCGTGAGCCACCACGCCTGGCAAGGTTTTTTAAAAACACTGAAATATTTTTTAGCTCTAGGAAATCTTTGTCTTAAAGCACTTATAGGACAGAGAAGAGATGGCTGAACAAGAGAAAAAGAGCAATCTCTCTTCTCTTATCCTTCCCACTGTCAACAAGTTTGTCTTAACTCTAGGTCTTAAACCAGTAGAGTATCTACTCTGTCCTTTTTTCTTGAAAGCTAACATTTCCCCAATAGAGCAACTGTAAGAAACAGAAATCACAGCAGAGGGCATCTTTACATGTTCCTGCCACTGTTACTTATATTCATAAGAAGCACTCTAGAGGAGATACTGGACACTAGCCGTTGAGTCTCATCATTAAATCTGATGAAATTCAAGCAAGGTTACCATTGGGGAAAAGAGAATTCATGCCTATAAAGAAGATCAACAAGAAATGGATATGCCCCTTTCTTTCAATGTTGCTTTGTCCAGCATTTGTGTATGTTACATCTGATCATCACATGTTGACTACAGGAACCAAGCTATTTGTTCAGTATTTATATTTAAGTCCATTTCCCTACACTGTCTAAAAGTATACTGCCCAATATGGCAGACAATAATCACATGTGGCTGTGGAGCCCTTGAAAAGTAGCTAGACTGAATTGAGATGTACTCAAGTACAAAATAACATGTCAAATTTTAAAGACTTAGTACCTAAAAACGTGCAATAGCTCATTAATGAAGTTTTCATGTTGATTATGTGTTGGCATGGCAATACTTTATAAACTGGGTTAAATAAAGTGTTTGATAATATAATACATTTTTCACTTTGAAGAGTAGGTGGAAACCCTTTAGGGTGTCATTATATTGCTGACTTAGAGCAAAGGACTGGCTGAGTAACTTTAAATTCTTAAACAATGGCATCTCTATTTACACTGTTTTTGCTGCTGCTGTTGTTTTAGACTAAAGTCTCACTCTATTGCCTAGGCTTAAGTACAGTAGCACTATCATAGCTCACTACAACCTCAAAATTCTGGATTCACTCAATCCTCTCACCTTAGCCTTTTGATATAGTTAGGACAACAGGTATGTGGCCCCACACCCAGTTTTAAAAATTTTTTCAATTTTTTAAAAGTTTTAAAATTTTTTGTAGAGATGGAGATTCACTATGTTACCCTGGTCTCAAATTCCTGGCCCTAAGCTTCTCAAAGAGCTGGGATTACAGGTATGAGCCACTGTGCTGGGTCCACTCTTATAATTTGTATTATTTCTTTCCTAATCAAATCACAAATTTAAGAGATTAGTTTTGGCTAACTGCCTGCCACCCACAACACACTCACATAATACCTGAAAGGCACTGTGTTAATGCTTTACGGTAGGTTATTTAAAATACTTAAAAATAGTCTGGGCACGGTGGCTCACCCCTATAATCTCAGCACTTTGGGAAGCCAAGGTGGGTGGATCACCTGAGGTCAGGAGTTCAAGACTAGCCCAGCCAACATGGTGAAACCGTGTCTCTACTAAAAATACAAAAATTAGCCAGGTGTGGTGATGGGCACCTGTAATCCCAGTTACTTGAGAGGCTAGGCAGGAGAATCACTTGAACCTGGGAAGCAGAAGTCGCAGTGAGCCAAGACTGTGCCACTGCACTCCCACGTGGGCTACAGAGTAAGATTCTGTCTCAAAAAAATAAAAAATAAAAAAGTATTTTAAAATATCCTTGATAAAGAAAACACTCGAAAAAATTCAATGTTTAGGTATTTAGCCCAATCTGATACTAAGTAGTGAAAGCAAGAACTCAATCTGTGTGATTTCAAAGCCCTATCTCTTCATTTATGGATTGACTTTCAACCATAATCTGTCTCCTCATATTCTATCTCCTCAGACTCTCACAGAAATTTATCTGTTATAAACTAGATTTGAATTTAAGATAAACTTGCCTTTAAGTTCCTTTAAGACAAGATTCATGTCTGAGTCACTTATGTACACCCTGCTGTATCCAGTATTGAGCATTGCAAAAATAATGTCTACTAAATACTAATGTATTAAAGAAAACAAGCACAAAGAAAAGAAGTAGGGTTCAGCTTGTCCTTAGAAACCAGATAAAAGTATCAAGCTCTTCTTAGACATAACATGGTATCAAACAATATACATTGCATTAACAAATATCATATTACTGAGTGACTTCTAATTTCTTTTCTTTTTTTTTTTTTTGAGACGGAGTTTCACTTTTGTTACCCAGGCTGGAGTGCGATGGCGTGATCTCAGCTCACTGCAACCTCCGCCTCCTGGGTTCAGGCAAATCTCCTGCCTCAGCCTCCTGAGTAGCTGGGATTACAGGCATGCGCCACCATGCCCAGCTAATTTTTTGTATTTTTAGTAGAGACGGGGTTTCACCATGTTGACCAGGATGGTCTCGATCTCTTGACCTCGTGATCCACCCGCCTCAGCCTCCCAAAGTGCTGGGATTACAGGCTTGAGCCACTGCGACCAGCCACTGAGTGACTTATAAAAAGTGCTAATATTAGTTACTCCTACAGAGATCAAAAAATAGAAAATTTAATAACAAACTCAAACCTACCAAAGTATTCACAATCTTAATTTACAAGCATCTGGCAGACAACTTCTTAAAATATCTTATCTGAATCTCTTTGAGAAAAGAGTAATCAATTATGAATCAATTATTTTTCATGATTATACTTACCATAAGAGTCTAGCATCAGCTGTAAGTCCCGCGATTGAGATACCGATATGGTTGTCAACATGGAGAATTTTTTTCTGATGAGCTGCAAGCTCTGATTGTGCCCTCTAAATGGAGACATCGTAAGATGCAAAAATAAGTTTACAACCTTACTGTCTATGGGGAAATTTACATAAACAGTTTTCTATAGAGGAAGACATATTTATTACTTTACTTACTTTCAATGCAACCAACACTGCATGAGTTTTTGATTTCAGACCAACTGTGGCTGAACCTTGTTTAACAGCTTCCATTGCATATTCAATTTGATGAATCCTGCCCTAAAGAAAAAAAAATACAAACACCACATCTTAGAAGACCTTTTATTGGCCGGTCGCGGTGGCTCAAGCCAGTAATCCCAGCACTTTAGGAGGCCGAGGCGGGTGGATCATGAGGTCAAGAGATCGAGACCATCCTGGTCAACATGGTGAAACCCCGTCTCTACTAAAAATACAAAAGGGCGCGGTGGCTCAAGCTTGTAAGCCCAGCACTTTGGGAGGCCGAGGCGGGTGGATCACGAGGTCAAGAGATCGAGACCATCCCAGTCAACATGGTGAAACCCCGTCTCTACTAAAAATATAAAAAATTAGCTGGGCATGGTGGCACATGCCTGTAATCCCAGCTACTCAGGAGGCTGAGGCAGGAGAATTGCCTGAACCTAGGAGGCGGAGGTTGCTGTGAGCCGAAATGGCGCCATTGCACTCCAGCCTGGGTAACAAGAGCGAAACTCCGTCTCAAAAAAAACCAAAAAAACAAAAAAACAAAAAAACAAAACAAAAACAAAAAAAATACAAAAAATTAGCTGGGCATGTTAGCGCGTGCCTGAAATCCCAGCTACTAAGGAGGCTGAGGCAGGAGAATTGCCTGAACCCAGGAGGCGGAGGTAGCAGTGAGCCGAGATCACGCCATTGCACTCCAGCCTGGGTAATGAGTGAAACTCCGTCTCAAAAAAAAGACCTTTTATTTATTTATTTATTTATTTATTTTTTATTGGCCAAACTAAGCCAAGAAGACCTTTTATAAATAAAAAATTAATTTAGAGTTTCCAAATGTCAGGTGAGCACAGTTAAATCTCAACTGATATTTTTTAAACCAAGAAACTTTTTTTTTTTTTGAGACAAGTTCTCACTCTGTCATCCAGGCTGGAGTGCAATAGTGTGGTCTTCAGCTCACTGTGACCTCTGCCTCCTGGGCTCAAGCAATCCTCTCACCTGACCCTCCCCAGCAGCTGGGACTATGGGCACATGACACCATGCCCAGCTAATTTTTGTATTTCTTCTAGGGACAGGCTTTCATGTTATTCACGAAATTTTTTATTTCTTCTAGGGACAGGCTTTCATGTTCAGGCTGGTCTTGAACTCCAAGACTCAAGCAGTCTACCTGCCTTAGCCTCCCAAAGTGCTGGGATTACAGGCATGAGCCACTGTGCCTGGCCAAACACTTCTTTTAAAATAAATTTTATTGTATATATTTAAGGTATGTATGCAACATAAGATACACATGTGTAGTAGGGTCACTATACCAGAATAAACACATCAATTTTCTCACATAGTTACTCATTTTCCTCTGCTGTGGCAAGAGCTATAATTTACTCATTTAGCAAAAATCCTGAATACAAAGCACTACCTGCATTATCAACTGTAGTCTTCACTTATATTAGATCTTTCCACTTGCTCAACTTTGTATCCTTTGTATCTCCTCTTTTTTTCTCCCCACTGCCACCCCCATACACTGGTAACCACTGTTTTATTCTCTATCTCTATATATTTGCCCTTTGTAACAAAAGATCCCACACGTAAGAGTATGAAATATTTTTCTTTCTGTTTTTGGCTTATTTCACTTAACATAATGTCCTCTAGGTCCATCAGGAAACCTATTTTAATTATAAATGCCACTTCTAGGAACATCTAAAATAATTATATTCAATATTCCCCAAGCCTACGCTCTTACAGGTTTCTAAATACATTGCAGCCACAAAAAGTCACTTCACAGAAATGGTTTTAAAACATTATTTTACCTGAGGGCTCCAAACAGTTACATCATTGTCATACTGATTTCGAAACTGAAAGTAAAAGAAAAAAAGACCTGTTAATAGAAGAACATTACCAATCCCAACTCTTAACATTCATCAAGAAATATGCTTGTATTTCCCTTCAATGTTAAGGCACTCTGTTCATGCAATCTTACTACTGTACTCACATGCAAGATTACTACTGTACTCACATGCAAGCCAATTCTACATTTACCATAAACTAGTGGGAGAGGGAGAAGCAGATCTAAATGGGTCCTATTTTTCCAACTTCTTATTCTAACACCCTCCACAGCACTCCCTTTAGGCTCAATTACTGAAGTTCACAATAAACTTTTTTGCCTATTTTTGCTTATGCTACTCCCTTTTATTGGGCCCTAATAAATGGTTAAAAGCCTTCCTTTTCTTTAAGTTGGCTTAAATGTCCATCTCTTGAAGTCTTCTTCTTTTCTTCCCAAATCCCACTAACACATACTCCCACAGTTCTTTATCTAAACGTTCCTTTCTGTCTTTATGATTAGGAACATGTATGACTTATTTTTGAACGTTCACTGTAGTTATAAATGTACAAGTGCTCTGTCTGTATATTCATATTGAATGAACAAAAACGTCCTCAGAAAGTTAGAGATGGATACAAATAGCTGCACCAATAGAACCATTATGGCTATAAAGATTACTATAACAAGTCTATCAGTACTGGGGAAGAATAATCATGGGAGTGAGATTGAGTGCTAGAAAGGCAGACACAGAACTGAAAACCCAGAACACCATGTTGTAACCCTGATTCCATCACTTCCTCTCTCAGCCTCGGCGTACTCATCTGTAACTGGGTGATTGGACAAAAAGATGGAAAAGGGCCTCTTCTAATCGAGGTCTAGGGGAGAGAGAAATCAGACGGACCCGCCCGGAAAACGGACGCGGTCCAGGAACACCTGGGGGTCAAGTTCGCACTGGTGGTATAGGTAGGCCCGCAAGTCAAGTCCCTGTCTTCTCCTATCCCATACTAGGAGCTATTCTGGACCGCTCAGAATCTACTCCACTGCAGGAATCTGAAAGGCGAATTCATGTAGCTGACCGAGAAGGAAGTGTCGAAGGCCCCACGGGAAGCGAAAGCGGCGGAAAGGCCGCACGGACTACCGGCAGCCCCGAGCCCTGCCAGGCCGGAGATGCTGAATCACTGCCGGAGCCTTGCCCTCTGCAGAGGCTCCCACGCCTCGTGGCCCCGCGCCGCGCTAAGGACGACAGGAGAGGTGGCTCATCATCCCCCAGTCACCGGACCTCTGCCCTAAACCTTCCAGAGATCGGGATTCAACGTACCATGGTGGCGGCGAGGCCCCGGTTGCTGCCTCCAGCAAAACCGAGAATCCAGGAGGTGCTGCCGAAACTATCGCTCAGCGATCTACTCAGAAGTCTGCGGCAGTTTGACCGCAGTGGCGTAGGTTATTGCAGTCTATTCCAGAGTTATCGATAGGCTCGCAACACTTCCCCTTCCTTAAAACTCCCAGACTGCTCGGCGGCGGGCGGGGCCTCGGAAGACCGAGGAACTGAGATTGGCGGGAAACGCTCGGCTGGGAGCGCTGGCGGCTGAGAGCTGCGGGGCAGCCCTTGTCACGTATCCCTTCTTGGTTCCAGTGTATTGCGGATTCCCTCCAGTTTCTCACCCGCCGGCGGGCTGCACCTAAAGTCGTTCGAGGCAACAGTGACACTAGCTTGCCACTCACTCTCTCATTCACCGTCCAGAGATTTGGGGTGTTGGGTGACAGAAAGGAACGAGGCTGCAGGAAAGCCACAAATAACGATCTGTTTGTCTGTCAGCCATACTCTTCCTCGAGTATCTTGTGTACATGCTTTTCTTTGTATTAAGATTGGTGCAAAAGTAATCGCGGTTTTTGACATTACTTTTAATTACTTCTGAAGAGTCCAGACAGTTGCTGTGAGTAAAGGATGTATCTCAGAGCCCCATCTGTTTGCTTAGGAAATAATAAACAAAAGGACAGGTGTTGGAGTGATAGAGCTATCATTCATTCATTCAACAAATGTTTAGTGAGTGCCTACTATATGCCAGGCTTTGTTTCAGGTACTAGGAATATCTTGGTAAATTTGCTTAGGAAATTTAACGGCAAAAACTGCTATTACTTTTGCACCAACCTAATATTTTGGAATCCTCTTCCTTATTCCCTGGAGATCTTATCTTTCAAGGCTCTGTTGTCCTTAACGCCTCATTATTATTATTACTGGTTTCCTCCACCAGACTTTGAACTCCATGATGGCGCTAATATCTTTTTATGCCCTCAAAACCAAGCATGATACTTGCCACTGAGAAAAAATGGACACTTTCTTTCGATTTACCTATTTTGTCTTTTCAGAGCATCTTTCTGTAATGAAATAGTCCGACAGCTCTGCCAACAGCTGCCAACCTAACATCCACCGCTATTTATTTTCTTTGTAAAGAAGATGTTAGGTGCTGTGGCTCATGCTGGTAATCCCAGTACTTTTGCAGACCGAGGGCAGAGGATCACTGGAGCCCAGAAATTCGAGACCACTATATTATCTTAATATAGTGGACCTCGTCTCTAAAAATAAAATAAAATAAAATAAAGGCTGGGCATGGTGACATGCTCCTGTGGTCTCAGCTACTTGGGAGGCTGAAGTGGGAGGCCTGGTAGATCGAGGTTGTAATGAGCCATGGTCGCGCCACTACACTTTAGCCTGGGCGACAGAGTGAGACGCTGTTTTTTTTTTAGTACTAAATTGCTCTCCAGAAATGTTTTACCAACATATACTCTCAACAGTCCTCAAATTCCTCAACACTGGTTATTGTAATATTTCTAAAAAACACTTTATTTGGTGGACTAAATTAATAGATTGTTCTCTTTTGTTTCTCCAGCACCTAGCACAATGCGTAGCACTTGTTAAGTGTTTGTAAATAGTGCTGAATGATTAAATAAATGCTCATTTTAAAATTGTCATATACTACATAAACATTTTGACAGTTCTTTCCATATATACCTCTCTACTCACGTGCCTCACACAGATGTGTAACAAATATACAATTTTAAAAAAGATGATTCTGAACTATTTTTATTAATACACTTAAAGAGTTATAGCTATCTTATGTACATATATAATGGTCTATTTTTCAATAGTTGCCTAGGATTTTATTGTAGGGAAATATAATTTGCCTAAGTATTGGTGTACAATACTTAATATTGCTACTTAATACTAATACTTAATATTTAATATTGCTGTCATACAAATACCATAATGATATTCTTGTACATGCACTCCTATTGTATGCATATTTACCTTCCCTGATTACCTCTTTATGAAGAATTCATAGAATTGTGGGGTCAAAGGGAACTTACATTTACAGTTATGATAAATATGGCTGAGTTGCAAAAAAAGTTATATCAATTTAATATTCTACAGTGCCTGAGAGTCAATTTTCTCTATATTCTCACCAACACTGGATATAAGTACGTTTTACTTTTGTCAAGTTGATAGGCCAAAAAAGATAAAAACCTGTTTCTTTAATTTTTAATTTTATTTGTAGTTTTGATTACTAGTAAAAAAAAATCTTTTCTTGTATTTCTTGGCTGTTTATGTTACTTTAGTAAATTGCCACTTCATTCCTTTCCTCATATTATTGTGTTACCCATTTTCTTACTGACTTGTAGGAGCTTCTTGCAATTAGGGATAATAACCTTTTATTACTGTGTCACTTTTCTAGAAAGAGTCTTTTGGATACAAATAAAAGAAACCCACTGAATCTAGTTTAAATAAAAGTTCAAGCAGACATTGTAAATATGCCACAGAAAATCACATAAATATCCAAATATTTTTTGAATTTTTAAAAATTTACCGAGATATTCCTAGTACCTGAAACAAAGCTTGGCATATAGTAGGCACTCACTAAACATTTGTTGAATGAATGAATGATAGTTCTATCACTCCAAAACCTGTCCTTCTGATTATTATTTCCTAAGCAAATATCTCGGGCTTTGAGATACATCCTTTATTCACAGCAATTATCTGGACTTTTCAGAATGGCTGTCAAAGCTCTACTTGTAGACCAACAGAAGGGACATTTGGTTGACCGTTTTTGTTAAAACTGAAAGTCCCAAGGGCTTATTAAAGGTTTATATGACTTTCAGCTCCTCTTTGTATGTTTTGGGGACTTGGCTCAAGATACATCTTTAAAAACAACAACAACAACTTTTTTTTAAAGAGATGGAGTCTAGGTCTGTAGCTGGGCTAGAGTACAGTGGCATGATCATAGCTTACTGTAACCTTGAACTGGGCTCAAGCGATCCTATTGCCTCAGCCTCCCAAGTAGCTAGGGCTACAGGTGTACGCCACCATACCTGGATAATTTAAAATTTTTATGTAGAGACAGGGTCTTGCTATGTTGCCCAGGCTGGTCATGAATGCCTGGCCTTAAGTGATACTCCCTCCTTGGCCTCCCAAAGTGCTGGGATTACAGGAGTGAGCCACCATACTCAGCTCTCAAGATACATCTTTTCTTTTTTGAAACAGGGTCTCTCTCTGTTGCCCAGGGTGGAGTGCAGTGGCACAATTATGGCTTACTGCAGCCTTGGCCTCTTGGGCCCAAGTGATCCTTCCACCTCACCTCACAAGTAGCTGGGACTATAGGCAAGTGCCCCCATGCCCAGCTAATTTTGTTGATTTTTTTGTAGAGATAAGGTCTTACTAGGTTGCCCAGTCTAGTCTTGAACTCCTGAACTCAAGCAATCCTCCCGCCTTGGCCTCCCAAAGTGCTGGGATTACAGGCATGCACCACCATGCCTGGCTCCAAGATACATCTTAATTATTAATCAGAGGCTGAAAATCTGACCAATTAAGATATTTTGTAGGAAGACTAGGTCAGCGAACATAACACTATTTCTTTAAAGGTCATTGGAAGCCAGGCAAAGTAGCTCATGTCTGTAATCTCAACACTTTTTTTCTCCTGCTGCAGGAGAGTTGCTAAGGGACAGGAATTACCAGCCTGGGCAACACGGCAAGACCCTGTCTCTAAAAAACAAAGGAGGGAAGGAGGGAGAGAGGAAGGGAAGGAAGGAAAGAAGGGAGGGAGGGAGGGAGGGAGGGAAGGAAGGAAGGAAGGAAGGCAGGAAGGCAGGCAGGAAGGAAATTAGCCAGGTGTAGTGTATGCACCTGTAGTCCCAGCTGCTGGAGAGGCTGAAGTGACAGGATCACATGAGCCCAGGAGTTCAAGTTTGCAGTGAACTATGGTCAGCCTGGGCGACCAGAGCAAGACCCTATCTCAAGAAAAAAAAAAAAAATTAAAGGTAATTGGTAAGCTATGTTAGGCTTTTAAAAGAATCAAATAAAAATGAATTCTAAATCAAAGCCAAGTTGAAAATTTTTTTCATAGATAATAACATTATTATTATGAATAATGTGTTATTATGTTTAGCATCTGTAACTGGTGCATTGAACAAATGAGATGTATAGGGTGCAGTTTGTAAGTAACTTATTTTCACTCCACATGTTAAAACACAACTGGTGGAGTTAATTTTTCCATGGTCATTGAATAAAATACGGTACAAATGTCATGACTTTTCTGGTTGTTCAAGTAAAAAATGTTTGACTTCCTTTCTATGTCCCTGTCTAAAAGTTCTCTCCTAATCCCCATCACACTCGCCACCCCCCAAAACTCCCATCACCACCATCAACTCTAGGTTTCCTTCCTTCTTTCAAGTTCAAATAGAAGAGGCAAGTTCTTAACTTGGCTACTACAGTTCTGTGATTAAGGGCTGGTACTCTTTGAGCTTGGCAGATGTTTACAGTTGACGCTTGTTACTTTATGGGTTCTTTGCTAACACCTTAATTCTCACATTAGACCACATGAGAAAATACTGGTACTCTTGCGCCTACTTACACTTGGATAAATAACACCTTAATTCTCACCTTAGCCCACCTGAGAAAATACTGGTACTCTTGCGCTTACACTTGGATAAATGTATTTCATCTGGCTGTCAGCTCAATGTTAATTGCTAGCATGTATAGGTTTACCCCCAGCTTTCTTCTGTGGAAGTCTCCTCATCCTTCTTTGTGACCCTCTCTAGTAGCCCTGGTCTGATTCAAAGAAATATCTATAAAGTGACTTTCCCTCTGAGAGTGCAGACTTTGACCAGATCCCAAACTTATTTTTGCAATTAGCCAAAATTTCTTGCTCTCAATATCCACTAGAATGTTAGCTCCATGAAGCAGGGAATTTTAATCTATTTTGTTCACCACTGAATTTGCCTGTACCTAGAATAGGTGAATACAGTGCCTGTACTTAGTAAGTGCTACATAAGTATTGAATGAATGAATGAATTCCTCAGATGAGTCAGATGCTAGTCCACAGTGACCTCAACCCCTGCCCGTGTCACTCAGCTGTAGGGATCATATATCAACATTTCATTAGAGCCTCTTTCCCTAGGTGTGAGGTGGGGAAAAAGCAAAGTCTACTCACAGCAC